ATTGCAGTCGCTCTTGCACCTGTAGCCTGAGAGGCCGTCGGTCTCATTTTCTCTACATATTTCCCCCTCTGATGCATACTATGCACGTGTGACGTCACTCAGTACAATAGTGCCACTCAACGAAGTTGTTTCATCGCGTGTAAATGTGTGTTATTTGCACAGGTGCCGGAATCTGATGCGATCGCGGAGCTAGACTCCGTTATCGATAGTTATCATGGAAAAACAAGTGAGTAATATATTAATTAATTGCATGATATAATTAGAAAACTTATTAATCGAAGGTAAGGTTATGATTTTTGTTATCTTTGTGATGATATTGTTATTTTTGTCTTTACAGTCAAAGAGACGAGTAGTGTGCTAAAACGTTCGCGGAGAAAGAACAAAGAGTCACAGAGTGATTCTAAGAATGGTGGCACGTGGCCCAAGGCGAGGGCCAACTTCATACTAGAGGAGAACTCGACTGGAACCATCGTACAGCCCCGCTCCAGGAAGGAGAGGCCGCCTCTGTCCATCCTACTCAGCCCGCCTACTAAACTCCCGCCGGAACCGCAGCGCTCCAACACCAATAGAAACTCGAACCCCATCCCCCTGGGACACGCACCCCTCACTCAGGTCACCACGCCAGCTCGCCACTCCGTGTACAAGTCCATAGAGTCCTCGCCAGCTATCGAACACTTTCCGAAGCCCGCCCCCTTAACCATACACAAACCGTTCGCTTCCCCGAACAGTATGAACTTCGAGAAGATTCGTACGTTAGAAAAGGACAAGATGTCCATCAGTGATTACTCCGAACACGACGTCACACCGAACCGACTGAGCTTAGTTCTAAACCCGTCAGACGACTCGTTGGACTACCAGCCAGTTACACGCAACCGGACTAAAAGCCCGCACTCCTTAGACTTCATAGTCAACAAGGGACCAAACTCACTGGATTTTGTCCCAAGGAAATCTCCCAGCTCGTTAGAACACTCGATCAAGAATCACCCAGGAAAAGACTTACTAGATCAATATTATTCGAATAAGAAGTCATCATCACCGAAGACTGTGAACAAATACCCTTCAGACAGTGATAGCTTTGGACCGGACAGTTTGAACAGTAATGCAAATTTTCCCATGACGGGGACTTTGCCATCACAATCGAGGCTTCAAGCTTCTCAATACTACAGAGGCCCTTTTGTGAATTCAAACCCTCATACCTCAAGTAGGTATCCGCACTTAGCGAGTCCAACAAATATCCCCCAAAGTCAGTCGGGTGAGAGTATCGGCACGAGCTACGACATGCACTCGTTCACGTCTCACACTCACAATATGTCTGACCTCCAGCCAGTGCCGCGCAACACTAGGGGAGGAGACTACCACCACACGTATGAAGGTGGAACATTTCCTCGTAAGAAAGAGAATCAGAGGTTTCGTATCCCCTCGAACCCGAGTGTCACGTCAAAAAACTCCGCGGGAAAGTTAAGTACAGGGTCAATAGAGAGAAGTTCTGAGCGGAATTCTCCGATGCCTACATTTCACGTCGAAGTTTTATCTCCGGGTCGGGGAGCGAAGCAATTGACGCACAAAACTAGAAATTCTATGCCCGAGTATTGCGGCTTAGGGTGGAACAAACCTTTGCCCGGCGAGTTAAGGAGAGTACACATAGATAAGAGCCAGCAACCGCTCGGCATACAGATATATTGCCCGCCCAGCAGTGGCGGCGTGTTCGTGTCCACGGTGAACGACAACTCGCTGGCCAGCCAGGTCGGGCTGCAGGTGGGCGACCAACTGCTGGAAGTGTGTGGGATCAACATGCGCTCCGCTACCTACACGCTCGCCGCTCGAGTCCTCAGACAGATCGGGAACTCGATAACTATGCTCGTGCAATACAGCCCGGAGAAATATAAGGATGAAGTGGAAGTTCCTGGAAGCTCGTCGTCTGGTGAGAGTTCGCACGACGAGGAGGTTTCATTGTCTGGTTCACCAACACCTAGAAATTCTCCCGGACCGCAACAATCTATTAGATTGGAGCAGCCTTCGACTGAAGTGGCTACCTTGAGGCAGTCACAGAACAACAAAGACTTGCCTAGATTTCTTCTGATTGAAATGAGAAATTGTTCAGACTTAGGGATAAGTTTGGTGGGGGGTAATGCAGTGGGTATATTTGTGCACAGCGTGCAAATAGAGTCGCCGGCGTATAATGCAGGGCTGAGGACTGGCGATCAGATATTGGAGTATAACAACGTGGATCTGAGGCGAGCCACTGCTGAGCAAGCTGCGTTGGAACTAGCTAAGCCGGCGGATAAGGTGAGACCATCATTATATCCCTGTTATTTATTGTATTGGTGCCCATTCCGTAAAGACAAAGACTAACCTCATCGTTTATATTCCTCAGGTGAGCGTATTAGTGAGACACGATCTACAACAGTACCACGAGATCAAGGACAAGCCGGGCGACGCGTTCTACATCCGCGCTGGCTTCGACCGGTGCGCCAAGATCACGTCCGTGGGCATGGACACCATCGACGAGTACTCTCTATGGTTCCGTAAAGATGAAGTACTGTTTGTCGACAACACACTGTTCAACGGCTCGCCCGGACTCTGGCGCGCTTGGCAACTCGACTGCAAGGGCTCCAAGCGGCACTGGGGGACCATTCCTAGTAAATTTAAGTGAGTTCAGTTACATGTTACAAATGTTTTCTAGTTCCGAGTAAAAATTGGTATAATATTTTGTAATAATATCGTCCCTAAAATGAAAAAGTGCAAACCCCTCTTTTGTAGAAAATTCCTATAGGTAGTTAAGGGACTCTCTCGGGCTATTAAAAAAACCTTATACTCACTGCTTATATTATACAAACCACGTAATTATTTATAAACAACGAATTAAACTAAATACTTGTCATTCTCAATTCAGGGTAGAAGAAATACTCAGACGATCGATGGGGACACTGGAAGGCGACGCTCAGAGACGAGCGTCGACGACGGCGCGTCGTTCCTTCTTCCGTCGCAAGAAGCACAGAGACAGCAAGGAACTGGCGTCCTTCTCCAACACGGAGCTGGGCTGCTGGAGTGACAGTGGGACCCTGGCTGACGACGTGCCAGTACTCTCCTACCAACGGGTCGAGAGACTGCACTGTGAGTTATATTTGAGTATGTCGCTTTTGTAATTTTTTTTTGTTTTATTGTTGTTAAGCATGTTTGGTAGTGGTGTTTGTGGGTAATAATTATATTGAACGATCTTCCTCGATAATTTTAATATTTTGATTCGACAAGTTTTGACTCCGTCCATTTGACTGTGTTGAATTGATGAACCTGTTGTGGGTGTCAATTTTAGAGTGTAATTTTTATTAAAAAATCATCTTAAATAGGTACACTTTACTTCCAATTGCATTACATTTTTAGCAGGATCACTTGGCTCATAAACTTTAAGTTTAGAAAAATCTATAAAGTCATTGTAAGTGAACTTAATAAGTTGAAATTAATAAAAAAAATCAGTGTTATTAAGTTGTGGCAGTAAGTGCCGTAATATGGATCTCTGCCTACTCCTTCGGGGATAAAAGGCGTGAATTGTTAACGATCCTCGGATGAGTAGACGTGGGCGTGTAGCCGTGTAGTAAGGGCGCGTTGTCTGCAGACGGCACGCAGCGGCCGGTGGTGGTGCTGGGCCCGCTGGCGGGCGCGGTGGCGGCGCGGCTGGCGTCGGACTGGCCGCACGCCTTCGGGCTGGCGCGCGCCGCCGCGCTGGCCGTGGCCGGCGCCGCGCCCGCCCTGCAGCGCGGCACGCACCTGGAGCCGCGCCTGCGCCCCGACTGCACGCACATCGACTGCATCCCGCTGCACGCCATCCGCGACCTGGCTGAGAAGGTACCGCCATACATACATTATTATATTATTCGGCTTACTCACGTAATTACTTAACGAGGAACTCGACTAGTTTCAAGTCATGCTGGAAGCTCATATTCATGAGCAGCGTTCGTTCTGCGACGCACAACACGGCAAATGTCGTGCTGCTACTGAAAACATAATACGTGAATAACCAAAAAAAAAAAATGGTTAATTAATTTTCGCTCACGAAAGTTATAACATAAATAACGTCATAAAAACTAAAATTACTCACAACTGAGTTATTGACCATAAATGATATCAAACATGCGTCTAGCAATTTCCTGAAAACACGCTTTATTTATTTGTTATCTATGACGCTGTTGTATCCGAAATACGAATATGGTTTAGCTTTCAACACAAGGTTCATAAAATTTTGAAAAAATAAACTTATTTACAAACATCTTGTTCCCTTCTCCCCACAATCCTCCTCTTCATTCCTAACTTCAATTTCCCAATCCCTATAATATCAACAACGCACTTGTAACCCCTTCTAGTGTTATAAGTGTCTTTCGATTTCTTATTATTAGGTCATTCGTTTGCTAATCTATGCAATAAAAAGTACTCGTCCATACTTCACATTAAATCAAAACGTACTGGTTGTGTGTACATAAATTATTAAATAAGCTTTTCATTTAATATTTTCTATTTACCTCCACAGGGCATCCACTGCATCCTAGACATAAGCGTAGCCACGATAGAGAAACTTCACAAGCAGCAGATCTACCCAATAGTTCTGTTCATAAAGTTCAAGTCGTTCAAACAAATCAAAGAGGTCAAGGATACGCGGCACGCGGACAAGGTCACCGCTAAGGCGGCCAAGGAGATGTATGAACATGGACTCAAGGTCGAAAATGAATACAGAAGTTACATATCAGGTATGTAAGGCAATATTATCTTGTACTATGTCCTGGGTCATTGTAATCCCTGATAGTGTATTGTAAGCTCTTAATTACGATAGCAGAAAAGATGAGATCATGTTTTAAAATCCTCTTGGACTGTATAAGTGCTAATATGTAATTCGTGTTCCAGCGGAGATCCCGGCGGGCGTGAACATAGCGTACACGTGCACGCAGATCAAGGCGGCCGTCGAGGAGGAACAGAACAAGACGCTGTGGGTGCCCTCCGTGCAGGCCTGACCCCTGCCCGCCGCGCCCCGCGCCCCGCCCCGCGCGCCCCGCCGCCGGGACAAAGCCGTCACCTTCTGCACGCACCGGCCGCGCCCCAAGCGCCCCGACTCCGCGGCCGCGCCCCGCGCTGCCCGCCCCGCGCGCCCCGCCTCCTACTACTCGGACCCCGGCCGCGACGACCAGCCCGTGCGCAAGCAGGAGCAGCCCCGCAGCGACTCCACCGACTCCGACCTCAGGTACTACTCCGAACCCGACGCCAAGTATTTCGAAATTGATTACGAATTTCTCAAAGAACTCCGTCGCATCGCACGCAACAACTGCCCCAAGTGCCGCAGGAAACGATCGAGACGGAATGACCGCGGAGAATATAAGGAAAAGTCCTCAAAAGATAAAACAAAGACACCGAGGAGTTCTCGGCTCAAGGAAAACTACGTGTACTGCAATGGCAGGTACCACAGTGAGAAGGAACACTGTCAGCTTTGCTGCAGGGTCTGCAACCGATCCACGGACACCCTCGATTCCATCGACGACGACCAATACTCGATGGTATCGAAAAGTTACAGCCAACCTAAGATCACATCGCGATCCAAATCAACACCCAGAGGCTCACGTGAGCGAAAAAACTCGATACAGTCAAATAAATCGGTATCATTCCTTGAATCGAGTAACGATGAATCGATTAGGGAAGAACCGAACTATACGGCAAAAAGCTTTACGAATGATTTAAAGAAGTTTCTCTTGAAACCGTCAGCGCCGCGACAAAGTTTACGCGATAAATTCATTACGAGTTTCAAACAGGAATTCGAGGCAACAAAGAAGTCGCCAAAACTGAAAGCTATAAAAGGTCTGTGGAAATCTTATTGAAACGCAGTGGTTGAGCATTGACCAAATATTTGATGCAAATCATTTACAATTTTATACATGTGCCAATTTTTACTGACAATGTTTTTGTTTCACAAGTACCTATATAAAATCGAATCGATATCGATGCTGTAAAATGTATATTGACTTGAACTGTCGATCTTTATTTTAAGTTTATTTATTTTTATGTTGGTGCTTTTTTACTTGACACTGCAGATTTTCAAATTAGTGTCATGTCGTTCCTACGTACATTTCGCTGGTAATCAATAAAATAAATGGATTTATCGACTTTTTATAGACAGGATATGTCGCCATGCCACTAATTTGAAGTGTAGTTTCTATATTTCTTATAAAACGTACGTGTTCATAATTGGTCTAAAGGAAACTGAAATCCAAGGTTTCGGTGCTAGTGGGGAAAGCGTTATACAACTTTACACAATGTATTATACTTCACATTATACTCCGATTATATATACATAGACAAATATATACGTATGTGTGCAATAACTATTGTATTACGGGTCGGTTCGTGTTGCATAGGAAGAAGATGTGATGGAATAAAACTTTCTAATCACCTTTTTAAAACTTTATAAACAAGAGGGAGAATTATACGACAAACACCGATATGGCATGACTTTCCGCGATACCAATGTAATATGAACCGATCCCTATATTAAACACTGTTTTTCTTAAATATTTATAAATAAGTATAAGATATTGAACTATCATCACTTTTTACAACTACTATGGAATTTAATGCACATGATATGAATAATCTTGGCCTATACGCACGAACGTCACAATAATTAGATATTTCGGTCTATCAAGATGGTAAATGGATGTTTAAAATAAGTATGACATTAAATATTAGAAGAAAAAATTCGTAAAAATCTTTTTATTGTATCTGTGAATTAGAGACATTGGACTGTTCCATACTTAGGTACTTTGGTACATTTGTAGGTCTTGATAGTATATTTGGAACTTAGTGTGGGCCACTAGTAATTGCATGCGTCCTTATTATATCAAATCACAAGTCAATTGATCGTCATATCGTAATATGAAGAATATTATTAATTTCAGAGTATAATAAAAACGGTTGGAAAGTTAAACAAAAAGCCTCTTTAAATAAATAACGACAAGTATAATTTTCGAATGTATCTTTTTTATAGAATCAGATGAAGGTATATGACACGTGTGTAAGCGCAAATGGACTGATTTATTACGAAGTTGAAATATAAGTATGTTTCTTTTTGCCTATAACGTAAGGCTATTAGAAAAACATCCGAGAGTACAATATGACGCCCATTGACTTGCCTATCACTGATATATAATATAGTAGTACCCTAGGGATCACTTAGTGATGATATAGTTACATTTTGTTGTTTATACATAAATAGTGTTTTAGCTAAATATATAGACTTTTATATAGTCACTATATGCATGAATTAGTACCTAAACGGTGATTTCAAAGTCCTAATTGTGTAGGAGTATTAATTGTTTTGGGGTTGCCATTTTTCTAATGGGTAGTGTGGTCGTACGAAAAAAAATGGTTTTTCAGTTACATTTTAAATCGTTTCAAAGATGGAAAGTTCACAACGAACTAAATACATCGTCACAATTTTAGTGTTGTGTTAATTTCTAATACATAAAGTGTTGCCAATTATGTGTTTTAATGACACATTATATTTTCTGCCCCAATTGTAGTTCTAATAGTTTCTTATACTTATGTGAACATTAGATTCTGTAATCTTGTCAAATATAGCGATTATTATACTTCATCGATGAGGAGAGATTGAAAAAAAGAGTTTATCTCTAGCAGATGGTCCATATATTTGATTAGATTACAAAGATAAAAGTTATACGACTTCGTAAGACTGTAGTGCTACATGTAGTAGTTGGTATTGTAACGACGCCGTCTCGTAAACACGTGTTATTTCTTTATAGTTTCCATTTATTATGTACATATTACTTCTCCTATAGAGAATTTACAGGCCTATATATTATATTGTATTGTATGAAGTTTTTGTTATGTGTGCTAATACCCGGTTTCAGTATTTATTAGTTTCATTTTTCTTATGACCTAGCAGAAGTCTGAATATCAAATTAGCTTTGGTTCATTTAGAAATCTGGCGTTAGCATACTTTAAGTATTATTTATCATTAACTTGTCATTATCAAAGACCCTTTCAGGTGCCAAATGATTAATTATTTTGACCGGCTTTTTTGTACTGGACTTTATTCGATTGAATTTGTATCCGGGTGTCTACCGCAGGTTGTAAAACGAACGTCGATCACCTAATACATTGCGGTTTTCCAACGGCAGTTTCTACAATAAATTTTATTGCTCTATACAAATACCGCGATGGAAGAAACTCCGCTTTCGAGCGACAATGAATAGAAACAGCCAATGAGACGAGATGTTTTGAAATTGAAGCTTCAAACATACAGCAAAAGTTCATTTCAAGTTGACATCAGATGCAACGTGCACTATTATGCTGAATAATGGAAATTAGACTTAAATACAATACTGATAATGACGAATTCATCTCGTCTCGTGGTAAATTAGACAGTTATTTTCGAAAGATATTGCGATTATTATGAACTGAGCTGACTACTCCATTGTTTGACGCGATGTAAAGCGATCTCATTGATATTATCGTGCGATGAGGCTTATTGACACAGATTTTTAATAATTTTTCTGCACATTTTATTTGTAGTTTAAGTTTTTTGTACAGATTTTTTGATAATACGTTGTTTCAATGCTGATAGATTACAAATGTATTATGGATGGTTTGGAATTTAGGCTCAGACAATACTGGATTAATGAATGACACAATCGGCAATCAAGATTAATTTTCAATAGAAGTAAGACTCGATAATTTACCATTTCTATATTTAATTCATTTCCATTGATTTGGATAATATTTTTGAAGTCATCTAGAATTTTCTTAGTCTTTATTTTACTATTGTCTGTAGTACATTTGTATTCAGCTTTTTGCAGTTTTTATTATTTAATTTCAGCTTTCAGCTTTTACCTAAGCCGGTTGGCATTTTTTAGACAATATTTTTATTAACACAAATATCGAAATGGGTCGCGGTTTCTGATTTTTGGTTTTGTGAGTTAAATTTAACTGATATTAAAGTTAACTCGGGTTGGTTTAAAAGATTGCTTACAGTAACTTAAGTAACTGGGTCATTCATTATTTATGAATAGAGACAAAATTAAAAATTTAAATTGTAGTGTTGAGTTACTAAATTAGGTTTTTGAAAGTATTTCTAATGACAAGCAGGTTTCTTTAATTTTAAAATCATTATAGATGATATTGTTTGTTTCGTCAGCTATATCTCTTGATGGTTTTTATTTCTGGCTTTTTATAACTGAATGATTTTTAACTTATTTAAGTGTCTGTAAGCAAACTTCTTTGTACCTTGTGCGGTTGATGGCGTGAGTCGTTTTTGAAGAAATAGTTACCATATAATAATTTGTTTACAAAAACCCATTGCACAAAAGTAACAGTTCAATTTATTAAGTTTTATAGTTAACTATAATTTTGATCTGATTAAGTTAAACATTAGTTGGTTGGTATGTTGCTAACAATATTATTTTTAAAAACTATACATATTCTTATTATTATATTATACAATATTTGTAAATTTTAATAAATTATATACTTAGTAGTGATGTTAATTGATGTATTTTAAAATTGACAATAAAATAAAACAGTATTTAAATTATTGACTTGAATGTAAATTTTAGTAGTGTGATGTTTCCGCAGAGATTTTATTGGACACTCAAAGTGTAGTTTCCTGGTTCCGTGTATTATAGAAGTTTTGCGGGAACCTCACACCTGTAATACAATTTTTCTTGTTTTGGAGATATATTTATATTATCTGTTGATGTTTGACTATTCTGTATTTGCATTGGTATTATTTTTTTGTTTAATTTTTAAGCCCATGTATATTTCTACGGCCAAGTAGATGAGTAAGAGATAATTCAACGAATTGTTTACAATATAAAACGAAGCAATAAATAATGAAACTAGATTACTCGAGTTTTATTAAAGACCATTTAATTTATATAGTGGTTTTAGAAATTTCCTGTACCTTAATCCAGTCTTATTTTGTCATAAACTTCCTAAAGATAAAAAAGATTAGATAAAATTAATGACACTACGACTATATAGGTATTTAGTGCAGTTTATGCATATTTATTACAAACAGAATGTAGTGAAACCTATATCAAAGTGTATGATACGATAAGGTGCACTATATTTTAATTTCAGCCACAAATCATTCGTTCAGCCAAGTTATATACTATTGCTAGAGTCAACCATAGCAAAGAGAATAAATATAGGAGAAAAACCATAGTTTATATAGGTACATCATCACAACATCACGCCTTTTATTCCCGAAGGGGTCGGCAGAGGCGCACATTACGGCACTTAATGCCACTCTGTACAATGTAACACCCACTTTTAACTATTTATGTAATGAGTCCCATGTAATAGGGGGTGAGCCTATTGCCATATACCGAGCACAATTCGAGACTCTGTGCTACTACTGAAATTTTTTTAAAAACCCAGTAATACTTTCACCGACCTGGACCTCTTGCCCAGCAGTCTGTCAGCACTTGTAACCACTCGGCCAACGAGACAGTTTATTTTGATACCTACTTTTTTATAATATTTATTTATATCCAGGTCACACACAGATGGCTCGGAAAGTAAAGCCAGCACGTCCACAGACCGCACGCAACGCTTCTAATGAACGTGTAATGATGATCATCCAGCACGCTTACATTATGTCATTATCTTAAGTACAGAAAGTCAAGTTCTACTAGCTGAACACACGACCGAAATTATATGAGTAACTATGTACAAAACGTATCAACAGCACGTAAAGTTATTCTAAACTAAAACCCCGTCATTTGTGTGGAAGATCGTAATATGTTAACAACACATACCTATTATTATAATTTTTTTATGGTATAAGCCGGTAAACGGATAGACATAGACATAGACACCTGATTGTGGTAAGTGATCGGCGTCGCCCATGGACACCTAAAACACCAGAGGCGTGACAAGTGCGTTGCCGGCCTTTTCGGGATTACGAATTTGAGGATTGTTAGGGATTCAGGGGTTGGGGAGATTGGGGAATGGGAAGGGGATAGTTGGGACTCTGGTAACCTCACTCACACGACGAAACAACGCAAGCGTTGCTTCACGTCGGTTTTCTGTGAGGCCGTGGTATCACTCCGGTTGAGCCGGCCCATTCGTGCCGAAGCATGGCTCTCCCACACCTAAAATTATTTAATTAACTTGTCGAGTACCGGTTTTGTAGACACAATTATAGAACAATAGGTTGCGGTCACCGGTTACCGCTTGGTGTTTGACAGTTTAATATGTAATTAATTATGTCAATGGTATTAGTTGCATTTGGTTGAATTTGAAACAGCAGGATTTATAGCTGGTGGTAAAATAATAGTCAGTTGAATTTTATATTTTCATAAATGTAGTCACATAATACCTAATTTATTGAGTAAATCTTAAATAGTATCTATCTTTACTTTAGTTAGCATCTATAATCAACAAGATAAAGACTAATAAAATCTAGTAGGAATGTTTAAAATCTAGTAGGTACCTACTGATCTTGTAAACAAAGTTATTTGTTCACATGTTGTAAGATTAAAAAGTGCCTAGGTGCTCTGCAGATAGTTCACCTTTGTTTACCCTACCCTCAAAGGAGAAGAAGAAGGAAACCATCAGTCACAACATACCTACCTACATAAATCTCAAATACCTACCAACGACATTATTTTACGCGTAAAATCGACGCAACTCTAGCTGTCGTGTCAAAGTGAAGCCTTTACAAGTTTGAATGAATAAATTATCGAGGAGAGGCATGTAGCTATAATCCGGCTTACGACTCGGAACAAGAGCATATAACGCTGTGACAAGTCTGGGGGCTTCTATCTAGTACCTACCTCCGTTCCGTCTATAAGTAGGCTGATGTGCCAAGTATTTTAAGTTTGCAGGTGCATTAAGTAGGTACGTACTTACCTACTAGATATTTAGTCGGTCAAGAAATTAAATTCAAGTCGTCTATTAGTCAGACGTTATTATTATTGAATCATGTTCATATTTTAGAGGTAAGGAAATCTGTTTTTTACTTTTTTTAATTTATCTAAAACAAACAGTGACACTACATGATACAGTATGATGACATAATACATAGGTAGGTAGTTCGAACAAATGTGTAACCTACGGCGTTTTCCACAGAATTTAAATAAAATCATAAACACCATCTTCATGTCGCGGAGAACCGAGTTACCGGGGCTCTGGCTCGAAGTGCAGGAGAAGGAACGGGGTGGTTTTTAGTCAGTAAGAGTCTGACACTCTCTCCCGCCTCACCCAGGCGGGAGCAGTCATTCGATGATTTTCCCCACTTAAAAAAAACCATCTTCATCATCATTTTATCGGAATGAAATTGTGTTCTCCATGAGAACTTCTCTACCTGGATGACTTTCAATGTTTTGAAACAGTGAGAAACGAAACCAGCTGTGCCATTTCTAACGTGTTTCGGAAAAACAACCATGACGTCATTACTATTATTGTCTTTGCTTATTATAGCCACACATTCTCTCTTTATCCTTGATCAATGAGATGTCACGACTAGATCAAAGTATGTTTTCCTTCACAACAAATTGACGTAAAACGTAGGAACAAAGGTTTAACTGATCTTAACTATCGAGGTTGGGGGTAAGGCCCTCTAAATAGTCTCTATGATCTTACTATATTAATGCAAATGCTCAGGTAAAGTGCCTATCCAGTATATAAGTATCTGTTTAATAGTTTCGCTCCACAAATGTAAGCGGCTACATCCTGTGGACGCGAGTTGCCAAAGTAATTAGAGAAAGCGTGCGGCCTGCACAGCACGCAATAGGAAAAATAAAACTGATATGCTCTCCGAACCTCAGTCGAATCGAAATGGTTGGTTTTTTTACTTGTATTCTCTTGATTTAGGTACAGATAGAGGTCGCTGCAGAGCTATAACATTCGTTCTGTGCAAAACAAAAGGATAGAGAGCCTAGTAACTTTTATGTTACAGAGCATAAGGCAAAAATATTTTGTAAGTAGCAGACTTTCCTGTATCTGAATTGACAAAAAATATTAAAGATAGATTAGATTGATACCTATTCTAGGTTTTAGGCTTAAGTAAACTAAGCCACTAAAGTGAAAATAAATGTGAATGTGAGCCTCTTTTGTTATGGTTACAAGATTGCCAGATTACGATCACCAAACCTTGGTATTCCAGTTTAGTTTACTTGTGCGTGCAAGTAATTACCTACACCTTGACTAGACTAGGAGATGGACTGGTGGATTTCTGCAGTGATGTCATAGAAATTGTATAAACCAGTCACTCTCAAAAAATGCTAAAGAATAATTGTATAGGTACCTAGGTTTTTATTAAGGGGGGAAAAATCATCGAATGACTGCCCCCGCCAGGGTGAGGCGGGAGGGAGTGTCAGACTCTTACTGACTAAAAACCACCCTGTTCCTTTTCCTGCACGTCGAGCCGGAGCCTCGGTAACCCGTTAGGTTCCCCGCGACATAGGTACCTAGGTTATCTGCTAAGTTTTTATCCGTTGTATTAGGTAAGTATATAGTACTTACTGTAGTAGGGACCCACCTATATCAGGCCAGTAGCACACACCTGCTTAATTTATTCCATGATGTCTGCATCTTGGCCTAGACATAGAACGTCTAAGTAAGAATATTTGTATTACATTATCATGTAGTTAATGAAGTAGGTATTGTTAGTCTTCAAGCATTTCTATGACTCTATCACGATAGATAGTTTCTTACATTGATTGATTTTCAGATAATAAAAGCATTGACTGCTAAAACACTTTCAATATAATAAAATTGCAGCTTGTCTTAAATGTCTTATAAGTAGTTATTCGACAGCTAATTGGTCCAATTAATCTGACTGCAGTAAATACCTACCCAATCAAGAAGTATCGGAAGTAGGTAAATCGTCGCATTGCTGTCAGCTCGTGCGTCTTTACCCACCGGCGATTAGCACCGGTTTACCGAGCCACAAAGCTTATAGGCACATGTTTGCATCCTGTATCAAAATACTCTATCGTAAAAATAATTAGGTAAGTAAGTTTAGAATTTATAATTATAATAATAAGATTTTTAATGAAACGTCTACTAAATTTATAATTTAGCTCTGGTACAGGTAGGTAGGTAACTCGGCACTTATTGACTATTTACTTTAAGTGCACTTAATAAGGTAAATAAAATTCCTATCAATCATTTATTAACGCTTTTACGATATTTCAGAATAGTCAAATAGTCAATAACTAAGTGCAGCTTTGACTTACCTAAGTCGGGTCAGATTCGGGAGGGGTCCCCAATCTCCCCAATCTCCAACAATCCTCAAATTTCAAAATCTCAAAAGGATGGCAACGCACTTGTAACGCCTCTGGTGTTCCGGGTGTCTCTGGCCGGCACCGATTCCTTACCCTCATGGGATCCGTCTGCTCGTTTACCGGTTTATCCCCATAAACAATCTGAAAACAATGATAAATTAATCAATTATTAATGGTCAAAGTACAAATATTATTTGGAGTAGGTATGTTAACATAATATTTATCAAGACGTTAAAATCACCTGCATAGGTACTTAATTGATAAGATTTATTCGCATGTAAGGGACTGACAAAACGGGACAAGCAGGTTTTACTCCGGCCAAGTCACTCGACATCCTCAATTTACAATTAGTAATGTCTTGGTACCTGTACGATCAGCTGGTTTTATTATGCAAACTATTTACCTACCTATTTCAAATTGAATTTTAATATGAGACATTTTATTATATTTTTGAAATGGATGAGAAAAACGGACAGAAAGTGAATGGGTTAGATAAGAAATTAAAGCTTCCGCAAGTAATTCGAGCGCATTCCTAAGCATGGTCCGACCACAACATTTCCTAAAATTCAAGGCCGATAAAAAAAAACAATAAGATTTACTATCACTCCGAGACACAACTTTTCTGTTATTTTGAACGAGCGTGTATCCAAACGGCAGTGTGACGGTCGACACAGCGCATGCGCCGCGCGTACTGGGAAAATGGCCGACGCGAATTTTGCGCGCGAAACGAAAAAAATATTTACCGAAAGCAAAAGTGAATTCCATTTAAACAAATAAGTTTAAATTATTATATTTATTTATTATTTTTAGCCAAAGATTTGTTAGTTTACAATTATGAAACGCTTAAAATGTGCTCGCAATCGGATTGTTACAAAGTGATATTTGTAGTGATATTAGTTTTGGTACGGAATGCTGATTGTAGAACTGTTAATAAAATCAGAAAGGATAGTGGAGTGCAAAATGCGTGGAATCATTTACAAAGTGTGGAGAAAAATACGACGAATAAGGAGCAAGGCAGGGGATTTTTCTTTGGCGGTAAGTACCACCCACAATTTTACTCTGGTTCTGGTGTAATAAAAAATAAAAATATACCTATAGCTTTAAGTGGGTACCTTTTTACTTAAATGCAAAGCTAAAATGTTATTAAATTACACAATTACCTATAAGATTGATAGTTAGGGGCTAGCGTTACCTTACATTTTTGGGGAAAATTCACCAAACGTGGATTTTAACTCACCGGGTTACTTTTAATGGGTTGAAATATCCGAAATTATGCTCATAGTTACATTTTACACATATTCAGTGTATTCTTTTAATAGTATGTTTTCTATTCTATTATTTCTATTAAATCGGTTGTAGGTAGAAAGAAGAAACACTAGGTTTAAATAGACTACATATCTATCAATAGGTAGTGATACCAAGTACTTAGGTACATACATACTACATTACCCACAGAAGTATATAAAAAAACTTAATTTATTATAATTATCTATGGAGTTATCTTTGGGATGATTTAGTAAAAAAAGTTCTGTTTTACTCATTCATGAGTACCTACATATATACCTACCTAAGTAACAATTTTTATATATTGTTCTAGTACTTTTAGAGCAGGTTTAGCATGAATACAACCACGAATAAGTAAAACAACCAGGATGTTTGTACATAAGTATCAGCAACGTAACAAACCCCACCCATTACAGTAGGAACTACACCAAATGTAGGTTGATAGGTACACTGCCTATGACCTACCTACATAAAGTAACTTTCCAACTAAAGAAGATACACCAGACGTTTTTTCTCTCGCCCCGAATACTCGAGGAATTTTAAAAAGGCTATAATTTACTGGCTATGTCCATGCCGTTGTTACCGTGCCAAAGGGTCAGTGATGGCCGCTTGGCCGCCCACTCGCTAAGGACAAGGTTAATAATGTAAAAATGTAACGTGATGCTCGTCTGCCTTTACGGGGAGAAAGCGGAGATTGGTTGTACCTGTACGAATTTTTGACGGGTTGACAAAGGGTATAGGGGATATTTTCGATTTCAATAACATTTTTAAAAAGTTGAGATCTCATCACTTGAAACTAATAATGTTTATTGAAGCTCCTATCCTGATTTAATTCTAAATAGGTTTTTAGGTACCTATCTACAGAATCCATTAATTTATTGCTACATATCCTGCTATCAACTTGAATTACTTATCTATTTCCATCACTTTTAATTGAAACTTCATTTAATCTGAAACTGAAAGCGATATCTTTCTCACAGCCTTATTTTGATCGAAGATTATACCTACATATTCTATATTTATTCTTAATTTCTTTTTAACTGGCTTGTCACCATTACGGCAGGGTGGACATGGATATTCATTCTACATACATATATACATACATAACTTCACGCCTGTCTCCCATGGGGGTAGGCAGAGGCTAAGGAATGCCAATTACTACGATTCTTACATACCTCTTTCGCTTCATTAATAGTCATCAATCTTTTCATGCATGCTCGTCGGTATATTCATTCTATTTTAATAGAATTAGGTACTTGGCTACGATATAATACAAACTACAATCGTATTTACTTTATAAACTTCGCGTAAAAAAACAAAATTAATAAAAGATAAGAGGTAAGAGAAGAGGTAAGATGAGTTTACCAAGAAATTCAGTATTTTCCGAAGCATCGCGATGCGACCAAAACAAGTTACGTTTAAGTAGTCAACCGATAATTTGTTATGACGCTGCAAGCGCTTACTTGTTTACTGATTCCCATTAAGAGCTTTACAGGTTAAAACCTTTCTTACAGATGCGTTAAATACATAAAAATGTTGATGTTAGTGTTACCTGTTCTTTGCTATTCTTGGGGTAAATAAAAGTTATATTGCAAAATAACCTAAAGGATTTCAAATTCTCTGTAGAATATTCTTGAATACACATGGTCGAAGTTGAACTGAAGCTTATTGGTGCTTTGCTTATCGGTTATTGGTACCTTATGCAGGAAATATCAATATTGTCTTCTAAAGTACTTGCATTTATATATATCCGTAATACACCTTTGTGTATTTAGCTTTTTAAAAACTAATTCAAGCGTTCATCTATGAGAGACTTCCACTTTATAAAATAAAAACAAATAAATACCTCTATAAAAATTGTTTATTGTCACAAAAGTGTGAGTTAAGATCGATACTGACACTGCCCTCCAAACTAAGCTATAAGCTTATATTTTGGAAAACAGTGATTCAGGCGTGGAGTGTCACAACGTGGAGTATGTTATCGGTACATTAGATGTTTCTATGACTCATATTCTGAGTATTTTCTTAGCAGTTCACTGCTTTCCACATTTAATTTTGTAGCTTATGACATTCCTTTCAAGAAACTTGTCTACTTTTTCGATGGTACCATAACCATTACCACTTTGCAAATACATAGAAGTTTTTGCTTAATGGTTTTCCTTAATTAAAACAGATATGAAAGTAAAATTCAAATAGATATAGAAAACAGAATTAGATCAAGATCGTAACACGTCTCGCCGGATAATTTCACACTTACAAGTTACTTTCAAAAGTTTTCAAATCAAATGGAATGATTTGCGTTTGTGCTAACTACTACAGATGGTGACGCATAAAATTGCTATTTATTAGTCGACCTAGAAAGTATTTTAAACTTTAATTCTTACTTCATTTAATTATTAATAAGTTATGATCTTAAATACTTGATGGTTTCCTGATGCTGTTGTGGTAAAGCCAGAATTACTAAACATCAAGGAGTTAGGTCGCATTTCCAAGCGTTGTATGTGTTTTTACTTAATTTTCGTTTTAACTGCTGAGAAAGTAAACCAAAACATTGTAAGCTAATCTGTACTTACAGTAGGGACTAGGTACAATTTTCCCAGTCCATTTTTGCTGTACTGCAGCTGTGGTTAACTGCAGTTCTGTGCAATCAAGTTGTAAACGGTTATGGACCGCAACTCTGTTATTCGTGCAGGTGATTCTAAAAGCTTTTCAAAAAGATTGAGCTATCGCTATCGGGCTGTCGGTATGAAACATCAAATGCGACATAAAATTGCTGGAAAGCTAATATTCTACATTTACAATAAATTGTACGGTTTAGAACAAATAGTCGAACAAGTATCTGAGTCTCCCCTTTTAATATCGTTCTCCAACAATTTTACTAAGGTAAGTAGGTCCTTGTTTGTAGAATTCGGGTGTTATTTATGCCCTAATCACTATGAGAAGGGAGCATCGGTGCTTCCAATAAATCACCAAGTTAACAACAAATCCTATCGCCATAATTCACTCGCTCCGCTGATACGCACTCGACCCGTTTCCCATACAAGATTAGTATTCCCAACTCGTCTTCAAAATGACTCCAAAAGAAGATAAAAAACCGAAACTGGCATGTAATGAGGTTTTGGGGTTGTCCAACAAGGACATACCTGCCCATAAATATTTACGTTTTACCGAAAAAGTATTGAAAACGTCAAATAAATAATGTTGTTAATGTTAAGGTGGGTCCACATTATTGAAATCGTGATGCGTGAGGTGATAAAGGTCAACAATTCATATCCGATGTCCATGTACAGTTGTGTTATTTCAAAGCTTATTACTTATTGTTGAATGTTTTCCTCCAGCCGTATTTGCATACGAGAGATAACGGTATTATGAAAATAATAGATACTTACTAAGCATTTAATTAGACATTGTTTCATTAACATACTGTTAAATGTCACTTCTCATTGTCATTAGCCTGTTTTCGACCACGGAAGAGCCTCGACAACAACCACTGAACTGAACTCAATCTCAGTCTCCAACCTCTATCTGCTTTATATGCGCCTAATAAAGAAAGATACTTAAGAAGGTAATTAAATACATTATCAAAATTGTATACACTTTACAGAATAGTTTCAGAGTATTTTTGTATTTTATGAGCTCTCGTGGGCGAGGCAAACGTCCGAGATTATGTTGCAAAGGTTTTTGCAAAATGCAGTACGGAAATAATGTGGCTGCACCTTTAATATTAAAGAAGGCTTTCATACATTAATATGAATTCACTTGAAATGTATGCATCTGCAATTTTACGGTGTATCGGATTTATATTGTGTTGGATTGGAATATTGCCTTCGGTGTTTTTTACTTAAGTAAAATTTTCTGTGTGATATCATTCATAAAAATGTTTCAAATTTGTATGCTGTAATTAAATGCTAATAATTTGTGTATTTTAGTACCAGCTTTTGTAAGTGGCATTACTTACATTCCTTGACATTTGCATTAAATTCAAAATAGTTAAATCAAATTAGTATTAAAGAAGAAAAATTGTAAATTAATATTTATTTAGCCACATAGGTGCTATTGAAGTTTAATTTTCTATCCCAGTCCCTATTTTTTATAACAAGGAAACAAACTAGTGATGTGATAACTTTTGAACATGTTAGAACATCTTGGCCAAGTCTTAGGACAGCGCACACTTTACAGAGCAAATTATGCACTGAACTAGTTGAGCTGGTTTAACTAATATACGATAGTCAAAGTTGTGTAGTTTATTGGAGATTATTTGGTTACACACTTGTGTACCACTTGTGATAAATAGCTTTTGCATCAAGGGATTTCATATAGTATAGGAGACTATCATCTATACTTCAGTCATAACAGAATTAAGAATGGTAATGTTCAGTATCCCAGAAATCTTTCCGACAATAGACACAGTGTAACTAATTTAATTCACTTGTAGATACATAGAACTGAATTTTAAATTCCTCTGATCGTACAAAGTCAAGGAAAGTAAGAAGCAAAGTGTAAGTTCTTTCATAAATTACGTTTAAAAAAATGACTTCAACCCCCTCTTTTTTGAAGTCGGTGAATTAATATACTAAAACTTTTAAGTGTAACACACACTTTTCTGAAAACCACGTCAAAATCGGTTCTACCAATCGAGAGTTAATCACGCACAAACATACATACATACAGGTCAAACATAAACCTCCTTTTTGAAGTCGGTCAAAAAATAAGAACAGCAAAAAATCTTTAAAACATAATTAACTTCATCA